CTACAGTCTCTCTTACACATACAATATGTATACAGACACACTATCAAACACATAATATGCTATCTAGCCTCCCACTCTTTTGCACCATTTAAGCACATTCATATCACATCCCTTCAAATATATATATAATAATCTATATATCTATATATCTTCATATATATTTTTGCTCAGTCAATGCAAACTGATTTATACCACACTTTACCCAAACAGATTTACATATACCCGTATTTGCCCCTCCCTTTTCAATAAAACCAAATATCTCAATGCATATCCTACCCAGAAACACCCATGGTCTCTTACAGACACACAATTCATAGCCTCACTTAATCTCTTCCCTAGATCTCTCTCTCTCTACCTCTTTCCTAAGATCTATATGTCTTCATTTATTTGTACACATTCACATCTATATTGGGTGGCATAGTTTGGATGCTTTCCATGAAAACTATTTACCAACCCTAGGCACTATACAATGTCATTCTTCCACAGGCCTTTAATGGTGGGGATAAGGGAAGAGAGATCCTTGGATTTCAAGGAATCCTTTTTTAAAGAAGTGATGGGCCCCCTTCCCCTAGTAGGATATCAGCTATGATTGACCCCTACTTTTTGGGTGTGAATGACAACAGAAATTACCCTGGGAGCAACCACAAAAGCCTAGCACATGGCCAAGGCCATAAAGGCCCCAGAAGTGCAGTCATGACTGTTTAGGTGTCATAGCTTGCCAATATTGCCAATACATGTAAGATGTCTACATATTGTTGCAAAATGATGCAGTCTATCAGAATATCACTGACGCTCAGACATGCATATAAATACATGCTAGGTGCATACAGAGTCACAAAAACTCATAAGAACCCCCTCAGTAATAAGACTCATATGCACAGGACCAAAGCTGATTTTTTATTACACACCATCATACAGGCACATGCATAAATACCTTCACTTCACACATAAGAATGCTCATAGCAATGAACGTGTACATCCACTATACTCGATCACACCACACATGTAACATCCATTTACTCTTAAACACAGACATACATTCACATGGCATAATGCTCATGGATGACACACAGTCACTCACAAATGCAGGTGTACACACATACTTTCACATGTCCACAGACAGGCAGAATCATACCTATGGAGCTGATGGAGTAACATAGACACAAAGAGGCAAGCTTCCTTCTGCATACACATCCTAAGACATAGTCATACAAGTGTATTTACACACATATCTGTGTAAGTGTATTCATGAGCAGCCACATATGCACATGTTTGTAAGTGAGATGATGTATACATATACAGACATTCTAACACATAGACTTGTATGCAAAGCTGAACAAGTACATCTATGAATGTTTTCACATGACATAAATGAATACATTAATTCATTCTCATATGTGCATAATTAGATATGAAAATAAAAATATACTTACAAAACACACACTATCATAACCAGATATGTACACCATGTACATTCACACACCCATAATGAGAAACCACCCAAATGAAATAAAAATCACTTATACATATTCCACAGATATATTTGGACACAAAGATGTGTTTACACACATGGGTATACACTCATATACTCTTGTACACACATGCTTATCTGCATAAGCATGCACACGCATCACAGACATGCAAAAAACCATCTTATATAGATATATCCATACAATGAAACACTCATCAGCTGAGAGTGATATATGACATAGAATAAAAATAAATACAAACATACAAGTGCAAATAATTAGAACTATACAAACACGTATATTCACATACCTGTACACTCAGGTATACACACAGGCACACTCACACAAACAATTAAATAGGCATATGCATATGTGTTTATATGGTCATAGACAGATACTCACATGTATCAGTATATATAACCACATATGCATGCACATTCATTCTCAGGCACACTTAAACATGTATTCACACACACATTCAGAATTCCAAGAAAAACACATGAGACACATGTACCTAAGTATTATGAAATGTAGTTACTCATGAATACCGTAATTAGTTATACACTCACCCATAATTGTATATACACAGTTAAACATATAAACACATGTACCCACTTATCTATGCACACAGGCTTATGAGTGTGTATATGCATGTATAATATATGGTAGTACATACTCTTACAGCCATATTCATACATAGTTATATGTGGATACATAAGAATACTCACAAAATATATTTTTTACTCATACAACCTCCTCTACCCACACAATTCGTCCTCTTTATACTAGTGTGTCATCTATACGCTCATGTCCCAACCTGGATATAGATACATAACATTGTCCACAGTGTGCACTTAAAACATGCACACACAGACATATACATAATTTGAAATCCTAGAGAATCCACACAGACATTCACACACAGGATAACTCACACCCACATCACATACCATATAAGCATATTCATATACACACACCGTCTCCTACATAAAAGAACATGCACTTATATATCTTTAAATTCACAAACCATTTAAATGTATACACATCCAAAAGCACATGCAAGCATACATGAATGAACACAATCAGATAGAAACAGGCAATCCCTTAGCTGGACAAGAATACCCAGGCGCTCTGTAACCTGCACATATATAAACAGGCATATACACTCAAAGGCAAATTGATACCACACATTTTATGCAACCAGACATTCAACAGGCCTATAGTCTCAAAAAAACACACTTACACTTGGATCAGAATCAAACATGACCATTTGCTCACCCAGACAGACATGCAAAGTCATACCTACCCCTCTGTACACACACCGGCCTAGCCAGACACCACTCTCCCGTGCCATCACATGGCCTGCTCACACACATAGATTCACACCCACAATCCCCAAAACAGACATGCACACAGAGACATGTACACACAGCCACACATTTTCAATCACACATATACACCCACACTTGGGCACAGGTGCCCCAGATGTCCCAGACCATAGGCTGTGTCCTTTGCCTTCCACACCAAATGCCTCTTCAAAAAAATCTGTGCTTCAAGGCCCTAACCTTTCCTACTCTCACAGAGAGTTTTCTGGGGCTCAGTCTTTCCCCTCCTGCTGCTTTTCCTCTGGTTCCTGACTCCTCACTCAGTGTTCCATCACATCTCCATACCCAGAAACCAGCTGGCAGGCCCCACCCTTACTCCACTTCAGGTTCTATGTAAGCAACTCCATGGGCTTCATTCCCCATAGATCTGGCTGCTGCGTGGGCCACACCCCAGTTCTACCTGAAGCCCTGTGATCTCAAAAGCTCCATTCAGCCTTGTCTTCAAGCCCTACTAACCACTGACTGCAGGCAAATTCTTGCCAAGTCTCCCCTTAACAGAGAGACACATACATTATCAGGGCCAGGAATGCAGCAGGCTACAATTCAGGCCTCTGCTGGCTCCCAGGGGCTCAATCATCTGTGTGTGTGTGTGTGTGTGTGTGTGTGTGTGTGTACAGAGACAAGTACAGGGAAAGAAGCCTGGAATGAGGTAGAAATGGGAGACTGCCTAAAACTACCTCTTATCATAGTCTGCAAATAAGAAATAACAATACAGAGCTGCTTCTGCCTTCCCTCACTTCCTCCATTTGCCCACCTGCTGCCTTCCTCAAATCTCTGTTGAAACCCTGGAGAGAACTTCCCCCAAATGATCAACAGCAATATTAATCACAAACAATTAACAACAACATTGACCATGAGCTTTACTGACATTCTTTCAGTGCACCTCTATGCACATCCCTCATTGACATGTACTAACTCATTTAATCCTTACACATACACATGCAGGAAGAGTTACCAGTCTCTTTGACAGATGAAAAAACTGAGTTTCAATAAATGGTATGCCTCCACTAAAGCTGCAGAGCTAGAAGTTGGAGGGATTTGTCCCTGTAGAATCCTTGTTCTCCATGTTTCAGGTTTTTCTGCCATTCTAGATATAGGGAACATTTAGCTACCAGGCACAAGGCCATAAGATCTGGAGGTCCCAGACACAACAGGGGTATCTGAGACAGAGGCAGTCATATGATGGAAGCTCAGTCCCATACTGTGGGACAAGCAAGTTGTGCCTTGCCCCTCTCAGACCCAGGTTGTCATGTGATTTGATGATCCTTGCCCACTCAGCCATTAGGCAGCTTAGGGCCTGAAATGTTCTCCACCCGAAGTTCATCTTCCTTTAACCCTACAGTGACTTCCTCCCCGAGCTGGGAAGCACAGCATATGTTCCATTGTGAGGGAGAAAAAGTCTGTGCTACCTGTGGGGAGAAAGAGGAGAAGGAAGGAAGGAAAAGAAGAAAGGAGTAGGGGGTGGTCTGAACTAGGAGCAGCTTCCCTGTCATATCTACCCATTTGCTCGCTATTCAGGTGTACACACACACACACACACACACACACACACACTCAGAGCAAACAGGTCAAGGAACCTTGGAAGAGGGAGGGAGGGAGGGAAAGAGAGAGACAGAGACAGACACAGAGAGAGGCAGAGAGAGATAGAGCCAGCCAGCCAGCCAGCGAGCGAGCGAGAGAGAGAGAGAGAGAGAGAGAGAGAGAGAGAGAGAGAGAGAAGCTGCAGGCATTGTAAGGGGAACACCACAGCTGGGCTCCCAGGAATCCCTCCACAGCTAGCACACAGGAAATATTAACACAGCCTTGTGCCCAAACATGACCATAATGGTAAAAATAGATCCTGTACAGTAAAACAGGTGGTGGTTTCCTTTCTCATGGGACATTTGGGATTGGAGAAGATGAGCGAAGTGAAGGAGTCTCCAGGCTTAAGTGTTCAAGTAACTCCTGCTCCTATGATGGAGGAGAGAGAGAGAGAGAGAGAGAGAGAGAGAGAGAGAGAGAGAGAGAGAGAGAGAAGAGAGCATGGTAGACAGACAGAGAGAGAGAGAAGAGAGCATGGTAGTGATGGAGACTCTGAAATACGTGTAGAGAGACAGAAGAGAAACCCCAGCTACCCATCCTTGGTGGAGGGATGCTGACTGCTTACCTGGGATTGCTCAGCTGGGCTGTCTTGGAATCCAGAAAAGAGGCTCAAACTGTCTCACCCAGGATATACCATAGCCTAGGCCACATAATGGGACCCTTAATAATCTGACCACCAGTAACACTTCTGTTTCTGTTGCTGTGGATACAGCTGGTATGGTCTAAATTGCAGGCATCAGGGGAAGCAGGCAGTGGAGGGGTACACTGGGCAGGGCTGGGGGTATTGGGGAATACCAGCCTGGCAGCACACAGTTTTGGGGTGCCCAACTAGCTGGAAGGTGGGGGTCCCAGCAGGTGCTTTCCCCACTACACACTCCTACCCACATCTTTATAACACAGCCAAGGTGGGAGGGGGCCAGGGCTGGCCCCTGCACCCTTCTGCCAGCCTACTCACCACCCTCCCCTTCTTATCTGCCTGCTAGCCGCCTTCTTTTGTCCTCAGAAGACAAGGTCCCCTTGGGGCCTCTGCCAAGCCTCTAGCAAATGCTCAGGGTCCAGGGCTCCTCCTTGGGAGCACTCGAGCACTGCTTGGGAAAGCTCCAGGTTAAGGAGGTTTCTCATCTAGCCCCAGTGCGCCCCGCCCCCTGCCCCCCGGCTCCCCAGGCCTGGTGGGGATGGGAAGAGGTATGGATCCACAGCCAGAAGCAGCAGCAGAGGTATTGGGGAGGGGATGGATGCCAGAAAGAGGAGGTGGGGTGGAGAGAGAGAGGTTGGCTTGATAGATGGTCCTGGGTTTTAGATCCGGGTTGAGGAGGGTGGCTCAGAGCATTCGAGGGGGGTCCTGATGCAAGAGGAGGGCACCAGGAGCCTGCCGGAAGGATCTCCCCAGCGTGGATATCACTCTGGCTCACACGAATCCAGGTGCTAAGATTCTGGAGACACCCAGCCTAGACAGGGCATCAGTGGGGAGTCCTGGGTCCTAAGCAGGATCCCATCTGGCCTGTCTGTCCCCCCTCTCCTTTTGCAAGGTCCCTGCCTCAGGGGCGGGCTGAGGAGGGAGGGAGGAAAAGAGGAGGAGGGAGTGGAGAGAGAGGCAGAGAGAGAGAGAGAGAGAGAGAGAGAGAGAGAGAGAGGCTGACCATGCAGGGGGACTCCTAACCAGCTGCAGCCTGATCCTTCCTGGGGCGGGGCAGAGAGAGAAGCTAGAGAGGACCCGGAGCCTCTGACTGACTGGCTGACTGGGGTGGAGATGCTGGCATGTTGGCTGTGCTGCCAGGACAATAGCTGGCTGGGTAAATCATTCTCAGACCTTTTTGACACGCTGGAGAATGGCACATGGGGAAGTGGGGAGAGGTGACCGGGGCTACTGAGAGAGCAACTCACATAGGCTGCAGGTGCAGAAGATGTGTGGCACAGCAGGTGTTCTGGAGTCTGAGTCAGGACAGAGATGCAGTGAATGTTTCTCAGAGGCTTTGGAACAGGAGGAATCTGAGAGGTAGGATAGGTTAAATTTTTTTGGAATGGGGTTCTATGGGCAGGGCCTGGAGCTGGGCAGTAGGAAGCAGTGGGGAGGAGCAAATGTGCCTTGCTCTGAACAACCCATATCAGGATCTCTCCTGTGCTACCCTTACCTTCTCTGGGCCAGTGGAAAGGCATAAACCTATATTCAGAGCCATGTTTTCCAGACAGTACAATGGGATAATTAACATAGGATTGGTAGAGATATGAAGACAAGGAAAAAAATACTGTTTCCAAGTCATATTATGCCAGACATAGTGGCATATGCCTGTTGAGACAGAAAGACTGCTGTGAGTTTTTGAGACCTGCCTGGGATAAACAGTGAGTTCAAGGCCAGCCTAAAGCACACAGAGGAACCCTGTCTCAAGACATGCACCCCCTGGCCCAAAACCCCCCAAACCAAAACTAAACAAACAAAACCCTTGCTGGGTATGGGGGCACACACCTGTAATCCCAGCACTCAGGAGGCTGAAGCATGTGGGCTGCTATCAGTTTGAGGGCAGCCTAGGATTAATAGTGAGTTTGAGGCCAGCTTGGGCTACATAGTAAATTCAAGGACAGTCCAAACTACATAGAGAGAGCCTGTCTGAAACAAGGCAAAACAAAACAACAATAAAACCTAAATGGAATTAAATTAGGATCAAATGACCCACAGCGGTACTTCTAATTTATAGCAATGAAGAATTCCAATTCTAGAAAATTTATTTTCTTTATTTTCTCATATATTGGTTCATTCATTTATTAAACACAGTTTTATGTAGATCCAATGTTTGGCACTGATAATACAGATGAATTGGACTTGCTCCCTGCTCTCAGAAAACCCTGCTCTGCCATCAAACTGCAGGATTGGTACACATGTACCTGTGTCTGGATCCTGGCGAGGGCCTGTGTAGTATTTCTGCAGGGTCGGTTTTCAGAAATACTCATCTGGTAAATCTGTGATGGGACTGTAAAGTTTGTATTTTGGCAAGACCTTCAGTGGTTATTTTTATGTTGATTAAAGTTTGGGTGCGAGGCTTCAGAAAGGGAGAAAAACCCAGGACCAAAGATAAATTCACAATGGAATTTAGAAAATACTTTAGATTGATAATAAAAAATATTACATCTAAAATCCTGTGCGATGCTGTGTTATAGAGAAATTTACAGCTTTAAATTCATATATTATAAAAAAGAAAGGCTGGAAATCTATCAAAAATTCAGAAACTAAGAGCAAGTTAGATAAATAGAAGGAAGGACACCAGGGGTGGTGGCACATGCCTGTAATTCAGTTGGGAGACTGAGACAGAAAGATCGTTATGAATTCAATGCCAGCCTGAATCACATAGTGAGACCCTGTCTAAAAAAACAGGAAAAAAATGGTACACAGAAGGGAAATATTAGGAATAAAAGCAGAGCTCAATGAAATAGAAGAGAACTGCAACAGAGAGAATCAACAAAACTAAAAGTTGGTTCTTTTGAAAATCTTAGAAATGATAAACCCCTGAGACTAATTTAGAAAAAAAAATATGGAAGGTACAAAAAAAAGTATCAGAGACAAAAGGAGCACTATAATACAGGTTGTAGAGACGCTAAAATATAATGAGAGATAAGAGGGTGTTAGAACGAATTTTATACCGACAAATTTGAAATATTTAACTGAATAGAAAAATTCCTCTAAATATATAATCCACTAATCTCAAGGAAGAAAGAATGGAAAACTGACAAATCTTATGACTATCAAGTTAATTGAATTTATGCTTTAAAAACTTTCTACAAAGAATCTCCAGACCCAGAAACTGTCAATAATAAATTCTACAAAATATTTAAAGAAAAAAAGACTCACTTATTTTCTAATTTTACACGTGTTTTTCTAGGAAATTGGAGAAAGTTTGGGTGTCCATTACAACAGATGCAAAAAAGTGCCATGACAAAAAAGAAAGCATGAAAGTTTGCTAAGAATATAAGCTCAATTCTTTAAAAAGCTATGCCAAATATCACACCAAATGGGAAAATGTTAGATGCTAAGATTAGGAATGGAAAAAGGATGCCCACTACAGTCACTTTTATTTAAATTGTGCTGAAGGTCCTTGCTAGAGCATTAAAGCAAGAAAAAAACACATAGAATTAGAAAGGAAAAATAATCATACAAATATTTACAGATGATAAAGATTTGTGTACAAGAAATCCTGTTTTTCTTTTTCCTCTTAAATAAAAAAATCATTAAATATTATTAAATAAGCAAATTAGGACTGTGAGACACAAAGTCATCATTTAAATATGATTTTGTTTTTTGTGTATTTTTAGGGCAGAAGGGAGTTCAGGGGCAGAGTCCTGGGTTCAGTCCTTAACCACACACACACACACACACACACACACACACACACACACGAAGAGGTATTTTTTAAAAATGGTATAAATCTATTATATAAAAATTTTTATATATACCATCAGTAAAGTGTAGAAAAATGAAAAAAGCATACATTTATATCATCATATAAATATTATCACCTGTACATATTTGCATGTGTAGTTTTCCTTTGTAATTCTTGCTTTAATACATCTAATGAAAAATGTGCAAAACTTCCATACAAAAAATAATAAAATGTCATGGAAAGAAATTAAAGAAGACTTAAATAAATGGAGGAATATACTATGTTGATATATTAATACAGCAACTCATTATCATGAATTGTAACAAAACACAATCTTTCAAAAGATAATGTTGGGCTGGGGATTTAGTTCAGCGGCATAAGCGCCTGCCCTGCAAGCAGGCAATCGTGAGTTCGATCCCTGGTACCGATAAAAAGGAAAAAGACAAAAAACAAGGAAAAAAAAGATAATGTTGTTATATGTATGTGTAATTTGACAAACTTCTTGTAATTTTTTTAGTATTTCAAAGGGAAAAGAAAAGTCAAAATAATAGATTTCCTCTACCACACACCAAGACTAGTAAAGCTATAGATGAGAAACATTGCTACAAGGGTAAGTAAATAGACAAATGCAACAGAATAAGAGTCCAATAAGTGACTTATGGATATATAATCACTTGACTTATGACAAAGTTGGTTCTGTAGAATAAAAAAGGGCAGTCTTTTCAATGAATGGTTTTGAGGTGTATATTCATATTAAATGTGTCTTGACTCCTGCCTCACACAAATATCCTCAGATCAACTTGAAATATATATATTTATATATCTGTGTATAGAGAGAGAGAGAAAAAAGAGATAGTAATATTAAGCTAAAAGGTAAGACAATAAGACTTCTAAAATATGATACAGGAGAAAATCTTCTTCACATTGGGGTAAGAAAAGACAAAGCAAGAAGTAATTATCATAAAAAAGGATTGCTGCATGAAATGACATTAAAATTTAAAACTTCCAGCTATCAAAACACAGAAATTAAGAGACTAAAAAAGTAAGTCACAGAGTGGGAGAAACTATTTGCAAAACATATATCCAACTGGGTGTGGTGGTACATGCCTGTAATCCTAGCACTTTAGGAGGCAGAGGGAGGAGGATTACAAATTGCTCAATCTGAACAATATAGTAAGTTAGTGAGACCCTGCTCAAAGTAAAAAAGTAAAAAGGGGTGAGGATGTAATTCAGTGCCAAGGAAGTAGTTTCAGTCCCCAAGATTAAAAGAAATCAACAAAAGCTTCATATGTAGAATATCAAAAGAATTGCTACAAACCAATGAGAAAAGACAGATAAAGCAGTAGAACAACTAGCAAGACACTTGAACAGGAACCTTACAAAAGAGTACATCCAACTGGCTGACAACATGGGAAAATGTGCTCTTCCTCACTGGCAGTCAAGAAAATACAAAATGGGATGAAGGGACCATTCAACGGTAGAGCACTTACCTAGCATGTATAAGGTCATGTGTTCAATACCAGCACTGAAAAATAAAACCCAAAAGTGAAGACAAAATCAAACAAAAAGCTACACCTACTAGGATGACTAAAAAGAAAAAGATAATACTGAATATTGATGAGAATGTGGAATAACTAGAATTCTCAAACAATGCTGCTGAGAATATAAGTTGATATAACCACTTTGGAAACTGTTCAGCAATATTTATTAAAGGTGACCACATGTACAACTTGTAGTTCAGCAATCCTACTTTTAGGTGTGTGCCCATCTGAAATGCTTTATATAATCATGTGCTGCAAAACGATGTTTCAGTCAACAATGGGTTGCATACACAAAAGGAGCCCCATAAGTTAATATTGCTTAGTGACAGCACAGCCTTCTTAGTTTGTGTAAGCATAGTCTATGATTGGTAAATGATGCAGGACTGTATATGTTTACTAAAACACATGTAATAATGTACATAAAGTCACTATTTGTAATACTGTAAACTATAAACAGCTCAAGTGCCATCAATAGGAGAATTATATTATGTAGTATATGCATGCAATGGGACACTACACAGAAAAAAGAAGAAATGACCCATAACTACATACAGCAATGTGGATGAATCTCACACATATTATGCTAAGCATAATAAACCTAATAATAAAGGGTATGTCTTGGTTA